ATGGCAGTAAACGTGTAAGGATAGAAGCCCCAACATGTATACTGCCATAGATTGGTGCCAGGAAAGGAAAATTAAGGTAAGTATTTGATACAATTCTCCATTTCCCGGTACCATAACATGGCTGCATACGTGTAAAGATAGACGCCCCAACATGTATACTGCCATAGATTGGTGCCAGGAAAGGAAAATTAAGGTAAGTATTTGATACAATTCTCCATTTCCCTGGTACCAACATGGCTGCATACGTGTAAAGATAGACGCCCCAACATGTATACTGCCATAGACTGGTGCCCAAAAAGGAAAATTTAAGGTAAGTATTTGAAACAATTTTCCATTATCCTGGCACCAAAACGTGTAAGGAAGGATAGAAGCCCCAACATGTATACTGCCATAGATTGGTGCCAGGAAAGGAAAATTAAGGTAAGTATTTGAAACAATTTTCCAATTTCCTGGTACCAACATGGCAGTAAACGTGTAAAGATAGAAGCCCCAACATGTATACTGCCATAGATTGGTGGCAGGAAAGGAAAATTAAGGTAAGTATTTGAAACAATTCTCCATTTCCCGGGTACCAACATGGCAGTAAACATGTAAGGATAGATAAAGCCCCAAACATGTATACTGCCATAAACTGGTGGCAGGAAAGGAAAATTAAGGTAAGTATTTGAAACAATTTTCCAATTTCCTGGCACCAACATGGCAGTATACGTGTAAAGATAGAAGCCCCAACATGTATACTGCCATAGACTGGTGCCCGAAAAGGAAAATTAAGGTAAGTATTTGAAACAATTTTCCATTATCCTGGCACCAACATGGCAGTAAACGTGTAAGGATAGAAGCCCCAACATGTATACTGCCATAGATTGGTGCCAGGAAAGGAAAATTAAGGTAAGTATTTGAAACAATTTTCCACTATAGCGCCAAAAGTATGTTGCGATATCCAAACGTAGAGAGTCCTTGGTCTTTGGAGCGTGGCTTATCGGTTGTACTGGGCATGACACCATTGGTAAGGAAAGGAAAATTACGGTAAGTATTTGATACAATTTTCCATCTTCATGGTGCCATTCCATGGCAATATACACGGCTCAAGAAAATGAAAGAAAGACTTTTTAACGTCTAGCATCAGGTCCATGAACCTCCTGGGATATGGATCTGGTCAGGGAAGTCGCAGAGGGGGTCGTTCATCAGTTTCAGCTGCTTTGGTGTTCATGAAATTACCAACAGGTGCACTAGATGGGCAACAAGGAGAGGACCCCCAAAACAGGAATGGTTTACAGGTGGAGGCCACTGACATTTTTTTTCCCTACTCATCTTTTCTGACTGTTTTTCACTCGTTTTGCATTTGGCTAGGGTCAGTGTCACTACTGGTAGTATGAGGCCATACCTGGACCCTACAGAGGTGGCACAGGCAGTCCAACTCCTCCAGGATGGCACATCAATACGTACCATTGCCAGAAGGTCTCAAGAGCATGTGATCTCCCAGCACAGTCTCAGGAGACTAGAGCATGGAGGAGATTCCAGGAGATAGAGCATGGAGGAGATTCCAGGAGACAGGCAGTTCCTCTAGGAGGGCTGGACAGGGCCGTAGAAGGTCCTTAACCCATCAGCAGGACCGGTATCTGCTCCTTTGTACAAGGAGGAACAGGATGAGCCCTGCCAGAGCCCTACAAAATGACCTCCAGCAGGCCACTGGTGTGAATGTCTCTGACCAAACAATCAGAAACAGACTTCATGAGGGTGGCCTGAGGGCCCGACGTCCTCTAGCGGGCCCTGTGCTCACTGCCCAGCACCATAGAGCTGGATTGGCATTGGCCATTGAACCCCAGAATTGGCAGGTCCACCACTGGCACCCTGTGCTTTTCACAGATGAGAGCAGGTTCACCCTGAGCACATGTGACAGACATGGAAGGGTCTGGAGAAGCCGTGGAGATCGTTCTGCTGCCTGTAACATGGTTCAGCATGACCGATTTGGTGGTGGGTCAGTGATGGTCTGGGGAGGCATCTCCATGGAGGGACACACAGACCTCTACAGGATAGACAATGGCACCCTGACTGCCATTAGGTATGGGGATGAAATCCTTGGACCCATTGTTAGACCCTACGTTGGTGCAGTGGGTCCTGGGTTCCTCCTGGTGCAGTGGGTCCTGGGTTCCTCCTGGTGCAGTGGATCCTGGGTTCCTCCTGGTGTGGTGTGTCCTGGGTTCTCCTGGTGCAGTGGTTCCTGGGTTCCTCCTGGTGCAGTAGGTCCTGGGTTCCTCCTGGTGCAGTGGGTCCTGGGTTCCTCCTGGTGCAGTGGGTCCTGGGTTCCTCCTGGTGTGGTGGGTCCTGGGTTCCTCCCTGCAGTGGTTCCTGGGTTCCATGGTGCATGACAATGCACGGACTCATGTGGCGAGAGTATGCAGGCAGTTCCTGGAGGATGAAGGATTGGTTCCCATGCTCGCCTGACCTAAATCCAATAGCACACCTCTGGGATGTCATGTTTCGGTCCATCCGACGCCGCCAGGTCTCACCTCAGACTGTCCAGGAGCTCAGTGATGCCCTGGTCCAGATCTGGGACACCATCCGTGGTCTCATTAGGAGCATGCCCCAATGTTGTCAAGCACATGGGGGCCATACAAACTACTGAGGACCATTCTGAGTTGCTGCAATGACATTTCAGCACAATGGACTCGCCTGCTGCATTATTTTTCCACTTTGATTTTCGGGGTGTCTTTGAATTCAGTCCTCTGTAAGTCGATCATTTCCATCAAACGATGGGGCGTCCTTACATTCCTCACACATCACCCGTCCATGTCAGCATAGAGATCCAGCAGGAGATTCGTCCCCATCGAGATCTGATGGGTTCTCAAAGTCTTCCTTTCATTTTTTTTTTGAGCCCCACACACGTATCTATGCTGCCATATTGGCGCCAGTTTGTCTTCTGTGACAGTTTAGGATCTTGATATGAAAATTGGAGTCCTTTCCCATCCTAGAAGCCTCCTGGTTCCGCCCAGAAGTCCACGCACGAAGGGCGCGTGTCGTAGAACGGTTTCTTTTTTTGCAGTTCTCAGAAGCTTCAGGAAACGGCGAGTCGTTGCGAGAACATCAATCAGGATTTCGGCTTTTCATTTCCAAGTGAGGGTCCCATTTCCAGAACCATAATCTACCCCTCAATGGTCAAGCCCACGCCTACAGCTCTTCACACCTCCTGATGCCTGAGCAGGCTCATTGAGAAGTCCTCTCGGAGGACGGGAAGGGGTGGGACATTGCTGTGCATCCAGATGGAAAGTGTTTGGAGGGCACCATCCGACTCTCTGACTTCTGAATGGCCAGGCTTTGATCACAGAGAGGAGGAACCTTCTCCCTCATGAAGAGTTGACCTTCTGGAAGTCACACCTGTAATTAGCACTCAGGTAGAGGATCGGGATTCACTGCCGGGGAATCACAAAGGAATTTTATTGCACAATAATGGACGTATTAAGGGAGTTCCTGGACCTTTTATGAGACCTGCTCAATTGGCACCTAAACGACTGAAACTGGTCTTTCAGTTGATGCTGCCACTAAAAAAAAAAAAGTAGACAACCTCCTAAAAGACATTTACCGTACTGCCCGGTACCAAGCAGCCAATCTTTGCTCTCTTGCAGAGCTCCAACCATTGCCGGAATCTCATTCTGGGTGCCTCAGATCCAAGCATCTCACTGCGGCTTGCTGCTTTGACCACCCTGCTGCCTACCCTACATCAATGGTGTGTCCCGAAAAATGGAAGCTGGCACCACAGCTTGGACTTGATCTTCTCTGTGAGCAAAGCTCTAAAGAGTTCCTTGAAGGGAAAGAAAAAAAGTCCCCTTAGGGTTCAACATGGACTTCTGAAGTCATTTCCAAACGGCGCAATTTCACCAGGAAGAGCTTGCCAAAGCTAGCCCCATCGGCGTATGACGAAACGCGCCGGGAGGAGCCTCCCCTTTGATGTCATCAGTGTAGATTTATAGTTAATAAATGGTGTTCTTGTGATATTTACACTATGTGGAGCGTATATGTTGGGCGGAGCCTCCGCTGTGATGTCGGGCCGGGCGGAGCCTCCCCTGTGACGTCATCACGCTGGTGTCCTATTGCCAGTTTGGGAGAATTTTGAGATATGCGCATTTGATTTCATGTTTGTAAGCGTGGCTCTATAGTAAATATATTTACTGTATATGGAGCATTTATGTCGGGCGGAGCCTCCTCTGTGACGCCAGGCTGGGCGGAGTCTCCCTGTGACGCCATCGCGCACAGAATATGCCGGTGGTCCTATTTCCGGCTCGGGGGAATTTTGAGATATGCGCATTTGATTTTATGTCACTCCGCTAGTCATCATCCAGCCCTTTCCTCCCCCCCTTCCCAGCCTGACTGTCCCTGCCCCTTTCATTCATCGGACTTCAGTTCTTTCAATCATGGAGGCTCAGCATCACAGGTGCAGGCATACTGAGGCAGGGTGCTATGTACAGCTCCCACCACCAGCCATGATCTACCTGTATTGCAGAGAGAAGCACAGAGACCCAGACATGGTCCATTCAGGGAGCGCGACTCAAAAGTTTGAATCTAGACTCAGGTACAATGTGCACTATATATTGGCCAAAGTATTGTCCCCGCCCTCCATATCATGTGATTCAGGTGTTCCAAATCCCCTCCCAATCATGTGATTCAGGTGTTCCAATCCCCTCCATATAATGTGATTCAGGTGTTCTAATCCCCTCCATATCATGTGATTCAGGTGTTCCAATCCCCTCCATATAATGTGATTCAGGTGTTCTAATCCCCTCCATATCATGTGATTCAGGTGTTCCAATCCCCTCCATATAATGTGATTCAGGTGTTCTAATCCCCTCCATATCATGTGATTCAGGTGTTCCAATCCCTTCCATATCATGTGATTCAGGCATTCCAATCCCCTCAATATCATGTGATTCAGGTGTTCCAATCCCCTCCTGATCATGTGATTCAGGTGTTCCAATCCCCCATATCACGTGATTCAGGTGTTCCAATCCCCTCCATATCATGTGATTCAGGTGTTCCAATCCCCTCCATATCATGTGATTCAGGTGTTCCAATCCCCTCCATATCATGTGATTCAGGTGTTACAATGCCCCCCTCCACATCATGTGATTCAGGTGTTCCAATCCTCTCCAAATCATGTGATTCAGGTGTTCCAATCCCCTCCGATCATGTGATTCAGGTGTTCCAATCCCCTCCATATCATGTGATTCAGGTGTTCTAATCCCTTCCATATCATGTGATTCAGGTGTCCCAATCCCCTCCATATCATGTGATTCAGGTGTTCCAATCCCCTCCATATCATGTGATTCAGGTGTTCTAATCCCTTCCATATCATGTGATTCAGGCGTTCCAATCCCCTCCATATCATGTGATTCAGGTGTTCCAATCCCCTCCATATCATGTGATTCAGGTGTTCCAATCCCCTCCATATCATGTGATTAAGGTGTTCCAATCCATGGACACAGGTGTATACAATCAAGCCCCTAGGCAAGCAGACTGCTTCTACAAACATTGGTGAAAGAATGGGTCGCTCTCAGGAGCTCAGTGACTCCAAGCGTGGTCCCGTGATAGGTGGCCACCTGTGCAATAATTCCATCCGTGACATTTCCTGGCTACTAAATATTCCACGCTCAACTGTTAGTGGGATTATAACAAAGTGGAAGCCACTGGGAACAACAGCCACTCAGCCACCAAGTGGTAGGCCACGTCACATGACAGGGCGGGGTCAGCGCATGCTGAAGCACACAGTGCGCAGAAGTCACCAACTGTCTGCACAGTCAATAGCTAAAGACCTCCAAACTTGGTGTGGCCTTCAGATGAGCCCAACAACAGTGTGTAGAGGGCTTCATGGAATGGGTTTCCATGGCCGAGCAGCTGCATCCAAGCCTTCCATCACCAAGTACAATGCAAAGCGTCGGATGCCGTGGTGTAAAGCACGCCGCCACTGGACTCTAAAGCAGGAGAGACGTGTTCTCTGGAGTGACCAATCACACTTCTCTGTCTGGCCATCCGTGATGGACGTGTCTGGGTTTGGCGGTTGCCAGGAGAACGGTACTTGCCTGACTGCATTGTGCCAAGTGTAAAGTTTGGTGGAGGGGGGATTATGGTGTGGGGGTTGCTTTCAGGATGTTGGACTTGGCCCCCTAGTTCCAGTGAAGGCAACTCCATTTTGGACAACTTTGTGGGAGGAGTTTGGGGATGGCCCCTTCCTGTTCCAACATGACTGCGCACCAGTGCACAAAGCAAGGTCCATAAAGACATGGAGGAGCCAGTTTGGGGTGGAGGAACTTGACTGTCCTGCACAGAGTCCTGACCTCAACCCCATAGAACACCTTTGGGATGAATTAGAGCGGAGACTGCGAGCCAGGCCTCCTCCCCCGACATCAGTGCCTGACCTGACAAATGTGCTTCTGGAAGAATGGTCCAACCTTCCCATAGACACCCTCCTAAACCTTGTGGACGGCCTTCCCAGAGGAGTTGAAGCTGTTAGAGCTGCAAAGGGCGGGGCCAACTCAATAACCCTACGGACTAAGACTGGGAGGTGCCATGAAAGGTCATGTGCGTGGAAAGGGCGGGGCCAACTCAATATTGAACCCTACGGACTAAGACCGGGGGCCATTAATGGTCATGTGAGTGGAAAGGCCGGTGGCCCAATACTTGGGGCAATATCTCTGAACACACAAAGTTGACTTCTCTCCGTGATGCTTCATGTCCACAAATGGTTCCATTTCCATGACAAGGTTTGAGGGTCACTCTCGTCTTCTGAGGTCCAAGCAGGATGAGAAGACGTGTCCAGGAACTGTGACATAATAGGAAGCCATCATGGAGAGAACCCAGCTGTGTTGTTACAAGCACACTCCTCCTGTGGCCATCGATGAATATTCAGAGGATTGGAGGAATCTGTTGGGTCTTCAGCCTCCAAGAGGGAAGGGGGCCCGTCTGGCCCCAATACACAGCCCATTGTCAGCAGAGGATAGGTGATAACTTGCCCCCCCCCCCCCCCCACATACAGGTGGTGTCATTACCATAACACCTGCAGAGGCATTGCATTGTTGAACCCTTACCTTGCCCTCCGGAAGTCCTTAGGGAAGCAGAAGGATCTTCACACGGCTTGTTTATCCACAAATATCTCCTCTGATTCATTCTCATGAGGACTTCCTAGGACCATGTGGGGGCCGGAGAGGATGGAGTCCATAGAAGGAAGACCTGGAAGGGGGACTACCGTGAGCTGTGAAAGGGCCACAAAGCGACAAAATGTATCATCTGCTTCTGAGGCACAAAATTATTAAAAGTTCATCTAACTTCGGAAGGAACGTCCATATATTGTAGCGGCGTGCTGGTCCTTAGAAACAGAAAAGTGACGGTGGGGGGGGGGGGGGGTTGGTTGGGTTTATTTTCTTATAGCTTTTTATTTTTTCTTGTAGCTCTTTTTTTTTTTGGGAGTTTTTATGGGGTTTTTTTTTTGTTTTTTTTTTTTTTGGGGGGTGTCTTGTAGTTTTTTTTTGGGGGGGTTGCTTGTATTTTTTGGTATATTTGGGAGGTTTTTTTTGTTTTTTTTCTTGTAGTTTTTTTTGGGGGGGTCTTGTAGTTTTTTTGGGGGGTTTCTTTGTATTTTTTTTTATTTTTGGTATTTTTTTTTGTTTTTTTTTTTCTTGTAGTTTTTTTGGGGGGGGTTTTGGGTTTTTTCTTGTAGTTTTTTTGGTGTTTTTTTCTTGCAGTTTTTTTTTTGGGGGGCGGGGATTCTTTTATTTTTGGGAGTTTTTAATGTTTTTTTCTTGTAGTTTTTGGGGGGGTTTTCTTTCTTGTAGGGGGGGGGTCTTGTAGTTTTTTTTTGTATTTTTGGGAGGTTTTTTTTGTTTTATTTCCTTGTAGATTTTTTTTAGTTTTTTTGGGGGGGGGGTTCTTGTAGTTTTTTTTTTATTTTTGGGATAGTTCTTTTTTCTTTTTTTCCTTGTATATTTTTTGTTTTTTCTTGTAGTTTTTTTTTTGGGGGGGTTCTTGTAGTTTTTTTTAATTTTGGGAAGGTTTTTTTTTTTTCTTTTATTTCTTGTAGTTTTTTTTGATGGGGGGGTTCTTATAGTTTTTTTTTATTTCTGGGAGTTTGTTTTATTTCCTTGTAGATTTTTTTTTTTTTTTTGGGGGGGGTTGGGGGTTTCTTGGGAGTTTTTTATGTTTTTTTTCTTGTAGTTTTTTTGGGGGTATTTTTTTGTAGGTTTTTTTTTTGTTTTGTTTTTGGGGGTTTATTTTTTTTTTTGTTTTTGTTTTCTGAGTATAGATCTATGTTTGTCTGAAGCCTGTGTGAAGCTATTTACTGTTGACCGGCTGACCGCCTCTGCTGGACGTTTATTTCCGGCAGGTGGCACACTTCCTGTCCTAGGGTGACAACATTCACTTTACAGTATCTATGGAGGAGCAACGTTGTCACCCTAGGACAGAACTACAGAACACCTCCTCCTCTCCTCTTCTCCATTTTCCCATCATTACTTCCCCTGTGCAATTTTTTTTTTTTTTTACGCCCAACTCCAGGGAATGGTTAATGGGGGGGGGAGAAACAGCTTTACTTACCCGATCCTCGGCTACTCCAGCAGATGGCGCTCATCTATACTCCAACAGTGCGGCAACACATCCAGTGCAGGGCTATGGACCCCACTTTGGTCTTGATGATGTCAGAACCTTCGACAACTGGAGGGGGGGGGAGAAGCTGCGGGGACCATCCTGTCTGCACAGGGGTGTGGGGGATCACATCTTTTTATGATGTTCCAAGTCCTTGCTCTCCATCTGGCGGCGGTGGGCGGTCCTTACCCCTGCGTTGAACAGTTCACTTGTAATATATAAATATGTAAAATTGTATTTTATATATATATATAATTTTTTTATTTAATGCAAAAATTAATATTTTTTGCTAGAAAATTAGAACCAGCAAACATATATATATATATATATATATATAAAATATATATATATATATATATATATATATATATATATATTATATATATATGTTTGCTGGTTCTAATTTTCTAGCAAAAAAATATTAATTTATTATAACTGTTAATGTATTTTTTGTGTAATATATAAAATATGTAAAATTGTATAATATATATAAAAAAATAATAATACTATAATATTTAAAAAAATGTATAACTGTATCTTTTGTATAATATATAAATATTTAAAATTGTATATTTAATATATATATAAAAAAAACTATAATGCTATATTAAAAAATTTTATATGTAACTGTATTTTTTGTATAATATATAAATATGTATAATTATAATATATATATTTATAAAAAAACTATAATGCCAATTATTTAAAAAAATGTATAACTGTATCTTTTGTATAATATATAAATATGTATAATTGTATAATATATATAAAAAAAACTATAATTTATAATATTTTTTTAAAAAATTATAACTGTATTTTTTGTATAATATATAAATATGTTTTTTTGTATAATATATATTTAAAAAATAATAATACTATAATATTTTAAAAAAATATTATTATAATTTTTGTATTTTTTTTATAATATTAAATATGTAGAATTTATATAATATTTATATATTTTTTATTTGCTAAATATTTAAAAAAAATATGTAACTTATTTTTTTTATATATATATTTTATGTTTAATTGTATAATATATATAAAGAAAAAAAAAAAAATTTTTTTTTTATAATAATTTTAAAAAAATTTTTTTTTTATTTTTTATATATATAATTATGTATAATTTTATTTTATATATAATTTTTTTAATAAAAAATATTTGCTATAATATTTTTTAAAAAAAATTATTTTAACTGTATTTTTTGTTTAATATATAATATATGTAAAATTTTAATAATTTATATAAAAATTTTTTATTTAATTTTATAATTATTTAAAAAAAATTTTTAATTTATATTTTTATAAATATAATATATATTTTTATATATTATAATTATATATTTTTTATTTTTTTTTTATAATAATTAAAATTTTTTTTTATAAAATTTATATTTTTTTTTTTATTATAATATATAAATTTATAATTTTTATAATATATATAATTTAAAAATTTTAATTATATAATATTTATTTTTTATTATATTTTTATTGTATATTTTAAATTTTTTAATTTATTTATATAAAAATTTTTATAATATATATATTTTTTTAATAATATATTATTATTTTAAAATTTATTATTTTTTATTATTTTTTTGTATATATATAAAAAAATATTTTTTTATTTATATTTAATATATATAATTAAATTTATAATTTTTATATATATTTAATTAAATTATTAATTATTTTTATATAATATATAAATATGTTTAATATTATTAATATTTATATAAAAAAAAAATTATTTTTTATTTTATATATTTTTAAAAAATGTATAATGTATTTTTTTTTTTAATATATAAATATTTATTAATTTTATTATATATTATATATAAA